AAATCAGTTAAATGACGATAAATTAGGTGTCAATTTACTTGTGACCACTCAGTGTATATTCATGGACAAATCTTTAGTAAAAATACTTCATTAAAAAATCTAATTTTCTGTGTACAAAAGACTTGTAATGTTTACTAAAAGTGTGCCAAATTTTGTAAAGATACATAACTTATAGTGTAGAAACTATAATGAGAACAAAATGGTTATCAGGTTTGTCGATTTGACTGACTTCATAGCAAGAGAGTTAAAAGGCAATGTAATGATGACCTATTTTGCCATGTGGTTGCTTTGTACAAATATAGTTTTAACACTCAGGTTTCCATTCCTTTTTGTCACCTTTAAAGTTCCATTAACCTGAATTACTTGTTGAGTTTTCAAATGATTGTTTTATTCTTTGTCTCATCAAGGTTATGCTGAGTGAAGAAAGTTTAAAAACACTTCAGTTTTATCGATGCATACTGAGTCCGTATGTTGAGTCTTACTGGTTAGCAGCATCGTCGCTGCTGAAACTAGTTCAAGTAGAAAAAGAAGGTATGTTAATACTTGTAGTGATAAATATAGGGCAATATAAGTTGAGAAAGCTTTTTGTGAGGAGAGGTAAGATATAGTATTGGAAAATAATTCAAGTTATTATTAAGATCTTTGAGGTGATTTTGTGGCTTAAAAAGCTAATAATTTTGAACAAGTTGCCATAGAAGTTTTCTCCAGCATTTCCTTTCTGTGGCTTAAATCTATACAGAACCTTATGAATTACAGATACAATGCTGAAACAACCAATCTTCTCAATTTTTATTGACTATTTATATATAAAGTGCATCTTTAAGGCACCACTAGCCTTAATACTCCCATGTATCTTTGCATACTAACATGCAAATGATTATTCAGCAACCCTCCATGAATAGGAGTGGGAAACTACCTCTATTGTAACTAGCGCCCTCTAATCATGTAGCTGTTAACCACTTTTTGTTTGACAATATTATTGAATAGATGGGTTTTTGCTCATGGTTTGATTCACATATGCACAACTTTTTACTTTCTTAATTTTTCTAATTTAATTACATTGTTTTTTTCTGTTTTCTTTCTCTTTTTGTGGACAGTGGTGAATTATTTTAACTTCTCTTTCAATTTCGTGAGTCATGCACTTGCAGTTTCAGGTGGTCATGACTACAAGTGCTGCAGCAGAAGCATGACTCTCAGCCCATGAAGTGATGGCTCTGCTCCATTGGGAGTTGACCAATTTCATTCAACAATCCAAACAAACTGATGATTGTCCTATCACAGTTTTCACTGATCGGAAAGTTTTGGATTTGAACAGCCATTTGCCCTTCCTGAATATACCTATCAGTCGCATGCAGTTTTAGGGGCCTTGCCCAGTTCTCTTTCCCCTTTGGTGGATTTGATTATTCAGGTATGTTACGTTTTGTCCTTGTCTCCCGTTTCCTATGTTCCACCCCTGCCATTCTCAGGGATTAACCTTTGGGTCTTTATTTTTGTGTTTCCTCCTTCCCTGGATATGGAGGTTAATGCGAGTCATTTTGGGTAGCATTTGGTTTGGGGGTCAGTATACCTCAACCTCCACGTACTGTGGACAATCATGCTTTATATTATCATCATTCCAACTTCCCTTATTTGGACTCGCAGCATTTGGTGTTGCTTCTCCCTTAGTGGAAATCAGACCCCAATAATTTGATTACGTTTTCCTGTATTGGTCTTACTCTGACCACCCTTCTCAGGTCAGGGCTGGTGGGGGTCAGACTCCTTCAATTTGCCCACGTTTGGAGGTCCTTGGCAGTTGATCCATGGGTTCTGAAAGTCGTTTTAGTAAGTCTGGTCCTCTACTTCCATTCATCTTCCCCCTTCTCTCACAATTCCATTTCTTTCTCTTCTCCTTTGGATCCCGATTTTGGCCACTCACCTGATTCATTTCAGTAGCCTTTGTTTCCACCATTCTATGGACAAATGGCTGCTTCTTGTCTCCTCACAAGGTGACTCAGTCCTATATCCTCAGTTTCTTCTCCAGGACACTCATGATAGGTTGGCTTGTCAAAGTGGAGCAGTTTTTCCTCACAACCACACAATTTTTTTAGGTTCATCTTTGGGTGTTTTTCAACCTCCTCCTTCATTGGGCTCTACCTGCTCCACTTCAGTTGTGAGCTATGAAATGTCTCGTATGCAGCATCTCATACTTTCCTTTCCCTACTGTGGGAGAGGTTCTCTCTCTTTTGGAGTCATGGGCTTCTTTCGAAGCCCTCATCCCTCTTGGTCATGCCCATCATGTGTCATTATAAGTGGGTTTTGATAGACCAATGTAGCCTTGTTCGGGATCCCTTAGATGCCCCTCTTACCCTTCCCTTACAGACTGACTTTGAATAGTGGTTCAATTGGTACAATACTACCATGGGTGTTGCTCTTACCCCTCCTCATCTAGAATGTTGCTTTTCATGGATGCTTCGTTTTTTTGGTTGGGGAGTGTACCTCGACTCTCAGGAGGTTTCAGGGTTATGGTCTCTTTCCAAGTCATCTCTCCATAATAATCTTTTGGAACTTCTTGTGGGCTCCTAGGGGCCAGTTGGTGATGGTTCACTCCAATGTTTCTGTGGTAGTCTCATACATCACCAGGCAAGGGGAAATTGGTCAATACACCTCTGTTTTCAAACATTGGTTCTTCTGTGTTGGGGCCCACTGCCGTCCCATCGCTTTGTTGGCATGTCATAATCCGGGTGCCTTCAATCTGGTCACAAATTGGTTATTCCGTCCCAACAAGATTCTCCCTATAGAGTGATCTTCAAATCTATCTTTTTGGTTTATTAACTGTTTTCGAGTTGCCAGTCTTATCCACGTTGCTTCATTCCTTTTGTTTTTTTCCAATCCTCCCCATCCTGCTTCTCTTCCTCATTAGCACTTTTATGTGGTCCTTTATGTTCTTTCTTGTCCTCCATTTGAACCTGTGTTCTTTAAGTCACTTTTTCTTGAAGTCCCTGTTCCTGCACTTGTTGGCATGCGAACATTGTTGTTCTTATGTGTTTGCAATCGATGTTTGCCACGTTTTGTTTTCTCAGTACCTTTTTTCTCCTCTTTTCTGATCGTTCCTTTATGCCTAAAACTTCGGCTGCTGAAAGAGAGGGTACTTCTCCCTTCCTATCTTTTCCCACCTAAAGGGGGGGGGGATCTTCTTCACACTGATTCAATGTGGGATTCTAGATTTCTGTGAGAGGGTTGTATCGGAAGTTAACATTTTCCTAAACTGAAAATGTATTTCCAATAGATACTTAACTCCTCTCACATTTCCCACTTGTGGTGTGCTTTGATGTGATCTGACCAATCTCGAAGTGGTTAACAGCTGCAAGATTAGAGAGGGCACTAGTTACTTTAGGGGTAGTGTGGCACTCCTATTGGTGAAGGGTTGATGCATAATCATTTGTATGCAGAGATAAGCGAGAGTATCAAGGCTAGTGGCGAGTGAGAATTTAAGCCGATAGAAGGCAGTATAAGTTTAGAAAGTTTTTGTGAGAGGAGGTAAGTAATCAATCGGAAATACATTTTCAGTTTGGAGAGCTATGTATGGATTATATGTTTCTAATCACTACATTATTTTCATTTCGCATCATAGAGAGTGTCTTCCTACAAGAAATTCACAAGACAGCAAAAGAAAGGTTACACCAGGGACTAATATCTTATGGTATGTTACTTTAAATTCAGTATTTTATACAAAGATTCACAATTTTTTAAGGATATCGAATTACGTGTGTGCTGTTATAAAACATCTTATTGAAGTTTGATGTGATAAAACAAAACCAAAACTTACTGTTTAAAGATTTATTAAAAGAAATTGGCATTTCTTGCCTGAGAAAATTTTTTGTCACATCACAGCAAACACACCATTATAAGTATAACATGGTATTTCTTTAAATATTATATATTTCAATTCTCTAGTACAGTAATATATTTTTTGTGGATTTATCAAGTGCTCCTTGATATATTAAGTTATCACTTACTAATAAGAAGTTATTGCTACCTTGTATATTCTTTGGTAGCGTACAATATTTTAAGATCTTTTTTTGTGAGATGAAGTTTATTAAATCTGTTGAAAAGTATAGAAGTTTGTTTTTCATTGCCAAATAAGAATTGAAAATACTCATTCTTTATGCATAGTATTTTCAGACACAGATGGCACCACTGTCTCCTTATGATGTCATATTAAAAAGTTAGTTTATCAGTTCTGCTAGTGTTTCTTCTTTTAGCATATTGATGTCATATTAACAAGTTAGTTCATCAGTTCTGTTAGTGTTTCTTCTTTAGCATATTGATGTCATATTAACAAGTCGATTAGTTGTTTTCAGTGTAAATACAATAATTATGGTCTGTTATATATTACATCAATTTTGCAGGATCTTTTTTTTTTATTTTCATTGTTTGATTCATACTTGTATCCATATTTGTTTGCAGAAGAGTGTTTTGCAGCTGATCAACTCAAGAATGCTGTCAGATTGTTTGAACACTGGAAGGTGATAGAGTGTTACATCCAAGACTCAGTGAAACTGTATTATCTGAATTTGGACTATAATTCAGAAGAAGCTGTAAATGAGATAATTAGAAAAATTGAAGAATTTAAAGTATGATGTAAAAAGAAAAATTGAAAAGCCGTGTTGAAGGCTGTATTTTACTCTGTGTAGTGATGAGAGCTTATCTAACATGAATGCTTTGTCTTCTACAAGAAAAAGTCCCTATTAATGTGTTTGGAAAAACAGAACGAACTAGAACATTTTATTGATGAGAGTAAAAAAGCCTCAACTAATGTATTTGAATGGCTTAAATCCTTTTATGTAATGAACAACAAAAGAAAAGTTACAAATGTAGTTTAAAATTTACCATATATTTTGCATTTGATTTCAATAATAGCCTATACTAAAATGTATTTAGAAACTAACTGTATAACAGTTGTTTTTACACGTAACAACATCAAAATCACCATTATATATATATATATATATATAACAACTTTGGTTATTATGCAGTAACCAACATTAATATATCAAACTTATTGTCATGCGCCATCTAAAGGTAGCCGAGAAATGAAAACTAGCTTAAAAGCATTCCTTGTAGTGTATTATTTATTAAATAAAACCTCTCTCTCTAAAAAAAAAACTTTCAAGACAATAGTTAAGATTATTAACTTCTTCGTGTATTATTAAGAACACCTGTTGTTGTTGTTTTTTATAGTTCAGTTCCATATTTTTTTATTAAGTAGTTTTTACTGTTGTTGAATTGAACTTAACCAACACTTTTAGTTTACTGATTTTAGATGCAGGTCATATTTCACCTGTTGTGCCCAGAACTGTTTAGTGGTTTCAGATGCAGGTCATACTTCACCTGTTGTCCCCAGAACTGTTTAGTGGTTTCAGATGCAGGTCATACTTCACCTGTTGTGCCCAGAACTGTTTACTGGTTGCAGATACAGGTCATACTTCACCTGTTGCACCAAGAATTACCTACTGGTTTAAGATGCAGGTTAAATTTCATTACCAAGATTTGAAAGATGTAAATTTTTTTGTCATATTTTTGCTGTTTTTTATGTTGTGATAAATATGTTACAAAAGTAGGAATATTTTAAAAATTTGATTGGTTGTTCAAACTGTGATAGTTGTCTTTGTTTTGTTTTTTAAATGGATAAATTTATTAATTGTAGTTGCTGTGGTTATCTAGAGGCAGCAGGTACTTAAATTCGTCTCAGACTGATTTAAAATTTCTAAGAATTTTGGTTTAGTTGCTAATTCTTCGTAGTGTCGTTCAGTTTGCTGTTTCAAGAAGTTAAGCTTTGCATTGATAAGTTTCTAATTATATACATCTATTAACTGATTTTATTGTCAATTAATCTTACTACCAAACTTAAATATTATGCTAAGAAATTGTGTACTGATCAGCTGAAAAGTAAAACTTCTAGTTTTTTTGAGTGACTTCTGAATAAAATGACTGGTTCATGCAGCTTAATTTTTTAATTTCTTGGAAGTTAATTCAGAAAATAACAATGATAAATGTTTATACCATAATTGAAAGCATACTGAATGCTGGTTCTTGATTGCTTTAGAAAATTAAACCATGATCAGGTTACATTAAAGTTGTGGTCAGTAATAGCCTTGTAATATTTCACAAGCTTTCCAGTCTTTACCCAGTAAACATTAGATTTAATATTATGTGATACAAAAAAAATAACTGTTTACAGCCCCATCTGCTGTTTAGAAAGATAATCAAAATATTTTCATTTTCATATTTAATTATTGTATATTACAAACTGTTTTAAAGTTTCAGAATAATACTTTTTCTAAAGCTAAAAATGAGTTTTTTAGATGTGAGAAAAATATATTTAGACTAAACGTAGTCCTGTTAAAAGCATACGAAAATCTTATCCCAAAAATATTGGAAGAGCTTTTTTTGTTTTATTTAATGGGGCCTGATGTTACTTATACTTTTTTTCAGATATTTCTGGTTAGACAAAGAATTTTAAGTGGTTTGATTTATCTTTCATTTTGGCATTAGACTGATTTTGGAGGGAAAAAATCAATTAACAGTAGCTATGGGTTGTCCCTCCATGCATCTGATGTATTAGTTTACAGACTTTCAATACTAAATTAAAGGTTCCATTCCCATTGTTGGGCAGAGCACAGATATCCTAATGTGTAGCTTTGCATTGAAAAATTCAGTATGCTAGCCTTAGCTGAAGTTGAAAAAGTAAATGCAACTCAAGGATGTCATTATTTTCATTCTAACCAAGCCTCCAGATATATTTCTGTACTGTTTAGTTGCAGCAATACTTTATAGCTTCAGTTAATGTAGTTTTTCATATAGATATTTTAAACTTTTCATTTGTTTTGGTGAATTCCTTCAGGATTTAAAAAAAAAAAGTGTAATAGTTGTTGAAACACACCCGAAAAGCATAACCTGTAGTTGTTTTAATGCCTTCTCTTACCTGTAGAGCCAGTTTAACGTGTTCAGTGCTGAGGACACTCGTGTACACGTTTAGTATTCATTCGTGTGTTCTCACCATGCACATCATAAGTACAAAATGGTAAAGATTACGTGTTGTAGATTTGTTGTTATTATTATTGTTTAAATTAAAAACAACAATATTTTACTAAAACTTATCAGCAAGCATCGAAACAGTTAACATGTTAACTTTGTAGTTTGCCAGGTAAGGTCATTTAAAGGTTGTTTGATGAAATGACAAGTTATTCTTTTGTGATGCAGTGTTACTCAAACCAAAGCCAAGGGCACATAAGAACCTTTGAAAAACATGCCTTAAAATTGTAGGGCAGTCACCCTTGAATTGTTTCTGCTGATTTAACTTTTTAATAATATAAACAATTCTTAAGTTGTTGTTTTTTTAAACAGATTATGTGTATAAGAGGTCTGACTGGGGTAACTGACATAAACAGTTTGGGAGTCACTGACTTCAAGTGTTAAACAACTCTTAAGTTGTTTTTTTAAACAGATTATGTGTATAAGAGGTCTGACTGGGGTAACTGACATAAACAGTTTGGGAGTCACTGACTTCAAGTGTTATTTTCCTTATCCTTATTGTAATGTACAAAATAAATGTCAGTTGGAAATAGAGGTTTACTTGTTACTCACAGCTTTGACGTACTTTTCATAGCTACTCTTTAAAATTGATAGTTCTGCTTGTAATCGGTTATTAAATTTATTTTAATTCATGAACTTCAAGATAAAAATTGGAGGTGGTTAACCGTAAACAACAAATCAACCTGTTTGCTGTAACATAGACATTTATTACTGTATTGGAGAAAAAAAATTAAGATCTTAAAATTAAAAACCTACAGACTTTGACTCCAAGTGGAGTTGCTCGACCAAAACCATGAATTAGAATAGAAATTTCAGTTTGTCTTTATTAAAAAAAAAAAAAAAAAAAAACCCTACAGCCAACAGCAATGAAAAATTTATATGTTTGAATAGTGAAAAGGTGGGGGGGGGGGGTTTCTTCCATGTAAAGAGTCTTCAAGCTGAAGAAATTGACATTGTCTTGTACACATCATAATATGTAATGGGTTTTAAATTGAAACCATAAGTGTACTGTGATTATTAAATACAATTACACTTGTGTGTGTTTATAAGAGACTTACTCGTTAAAAGTTATAACTGAACTGAAGCCCAGTGTTTAGGAAGGAATCTCGGGAAGTGCTTGTAGTGTTTAGGAAGGAATCTCGGGAAGTGCTTGTACTGTTTAGGAAGGAATCTTGGGAAGTGCTTGTAAACATACTTTTGTTTTTATTTGCAAGCTTTTTGTCTGAAAAAAATTTAGAACTAATATTTTTACTTTCCAAATAATTCCTGGAAGTAAATTATGTAAAATATTTGTACCGAACACGTGCTGTCAATGTATTCAACAGCTAGTTTGGTTGATGTGGGAGTAAGAGAAGCATTTAAAAACTTAATATTGAAATCGGTAAAACCAACAGCGTGTGAACTGACTATCAAATGTATTTTTTAACAAGTTTTTTTTATTCTATTATACAAAACATTTGATATATGTATCTCTTTCTCTCATGTAGAATTTAGCATCTTTCACAAACACTTGATCAGTGTTTCCAACTATTAAGCAGATTTTTGTCTTTTATTATAAACATTCGATTTGCGTACTTTTCTCCCCATATTAAAATATTCCACATATAACACATATAATCTTCTTTTTTTGTTCTAAATAACCTTAGTTTTACACTTGGCTCACACCATATATGTATGGGGTGAGTGAAGTCTTAACACTAATTTCATTATGTACTGTGATAAGATTATAAAAATTCTAAAATTTTTGTGTAGTATTTGAGAGAGTAAGAAACTCCGATATCAATGACGTAAAGTAATTAGAAATTAGAAAAAAAATTATATGGTGCTGTTTGGTTTGTTCAAAACAATTATTTGTCTTAAGGGTTGATTTTGAATGAGAGCCACCTCGATAACTTTCATACAAAAACGTTATGCCCTCCTACTTGTAGGTAATAGTGTTCCATAATTTTTTTATTATTAAAACCTGGGTAAAAGAATACTTGATGTCAGTCCTAGTTCTTTCATAAGCACAGCTGGAAGTTGAATGGGCATGTTTCTTCTTTGGAACTTTAATAGAACGACTTGTGTGTCCTTCAGACCTGATGGATGGCTTAGTCGTCCTCGATCCAGTGTAGGAGCTGGCCTAGTCATTCTGTATCCAGTGT